TTACCACACGGTTCATACTAAATTAATTGAAGTTGATGGGGGAGTAGACCTATCCTTTTGACGTGATCTCTTTGGTACGTGCAATTTAAGACTTTACGAGTTGAACCGGAACCGTAGATGTGTTTTGTACTTGATCTGATTTATCGTATTTTCCACTTGTGTTTATGATGTCTCGTGTGTTTAGTTCTCGTTTAATTAACATCATTTCACTTGTTTACCTGATTTAATTTATCGTGCTTTCCTCTTGCATTTATTGTCTGTATTGTTTGTTTTTATGAATTTGTTTAACTGCATTTTATTCGATTACCAGATTTTTATCACACAATTTATCATGTTCCATTTTGGTATTGGCTTTGGTCGTAGTGTTTCCCCCAGAGACTGTAAGTATAGGTTAAGTCGCGATTGCAGTGCCCGATTGTGGAACATTACAAAATATTCATGATGTCCTGGATGTCTTCAGTTTTCTCGAGCGCCACCAGAAGTTGATCAACCCATCAAGCTGTCACGGAAACTACCAATAAGTTCCGATATTTTATCTCTTTTCTATTTCTTCAGATTATGATGTACTCTCTCTAGATAATTCTATCAAACGCTTCCGGGATGGAAGATATCACAAACACTCATATTGTATCATTGGAAGATAAGTACTTTCTGTGAAAAAATATTTGAAAGAACTCATTATAGAGATAAAAGTGGTAATTATACTCTTAATTTACCCTTTAAAGATGCCGAACTCTTATTAGATTTTAATGCTACATGTAATAGCGCCATAACCATATTTGCTTCGTTAGAACGACGCGACGCATGTTGAGTAAACCCGCAAATCGATCTTAGTATGGACTCTGCCTTATGCATATCGTCTTCCTAACAAGACGAAATAAGGTGCCCTCTCTTGCAGAACATTCATAGTTCTTGCAAAATGGAAAAGATCCCTCCAAATTTTTAAGAAAACTCAACGCTTTCTTCGATCAAGACGGCATACTGAGAGTGGATGGCCTCATTAGAAACTTGAACTAGAAACGTTTTCTTCACATCGGGGCCCAAAAGCTCCATTTTGTTATTATGCAACACTTGATAATGTTGATTTAACACACAAAGAACAAACCTTAAAATATGACATTCACATAGTTTGGATTTTGGGTGACCAGTCCAAATATTTAACACATCACACAGAGTTATCTTAGTTATTCTTGGTTCGATAAGAACCAAACAAACATTAATTAATGTCATAGTAAGTCAACCTTGTATAAAAACGCTAGGTGAAAGCGTAAGTACATAATATAAGAGAGGGCACAAGGTATTACCTATTAGCAGATCCCACATGTTCCGACAAGGCAAGAGCAACCGTCGACATATACTACTTGTATTTACCTAACATAAACAAAATATATAGAATCGGTAGACTCAAAGAGGTGACATAATTTTGCCTCGACTTAGCAAAAGATTGGCACAAAATCTAAAGACACATAAAATCAAGTACATACAGGGTGACAATTTGAAAACATACCACCCCCCATATCTTAGTAAATAAACGAGATATTTAAAAAAATCAAAATCCGTTTCGGTAATTTGGAGGGGGAATCACAATGACATAGTTGGCGACGCACCCCCTCCAACCCCCTGCGCCCCAGCCACCCCAACTTTTAAATCTTAAATAGTGACCCCCCATGTGTCCAACGTCGTTGGAAAGCTCTGAAAAAATGCTTTCCAACCATACCAAATAGCATTACATTTAGGTTAGTAATTATCGTGCAAATAAAAAAATAAACTAATATGATACATTTGAAATCTGTCGTATTTAAACCGGCGAACATTAGACGAACTAAGACAGAGAATAATTCAAGAATGTCGAAATATTGCAAAACCAACATAGGAAAGGTTCGACAAGAGTTTGAGAATAGATTATAACTGGCGATCAAAAATGAGTTGCTCTCGAGTCGGCTTTGGAAGTTCAAGTTAAATACGATTTTCCATGTTTATTTTTTGATTTGCACGATAATTACTAACCTAAATGTAATGCTATTTGGTATGGTTGAAAAGCATTTTTTCAGAGCTTTCCAACGACGTATCACACATGGGGGGTCACTATTTAAGATTTAAAAGTTGGGGTGGCTGGGGCGCAGGGGTTGGAGGGGGTGCGTCGCCAACTATGTCATTGTGATTCCCCCTCCGAATTACCGAAACGGATTTTGATTTTTTTAAATATCTCGTTTATTTACTAAGATATGAGGGGTGGTAAGTTTTCAAATTGTCACCCTGTATAAATATATTTCTGACGTACGTCAGGCACTTTTGTGGGTTAACCTACCGACGTTCAAAGTGAGATTTGGTATCGAAATCAAATAGGTACATCACATAATCAAAACAAGTCATCCTACTAAACATTAATACTCATCATTACACGATTTAATTAAAAAGTAACAGGAGCATTACTTTAATTAACATTACAACAAAACAACGAAACATATCGTGTCAAAATATCTTGACTTAAGGCAACCCACCCCCAGATGAAACACCCTGTGTTACTGTATCTAAATATAATAAAAATAAGGAAACCTGCAAATGAAAGAGGGTTCGTCTACAAAGGAATTTTTTTTGTGCGAACAAATGGAAGCCGTTAGTAACAAAAGCGTAGCTACTCGATTACCTACAGTGATAACTGTAAATTGGAAAACTTATTTACATAAAAAAATACAATGGACTTTTACGGTATGAGTCATTAATTATGAATATGATCTGCATAATTTAATTATAAAGGTGCAAACGGTAGATGTAATTAATATGTAGTTATAAATAACGTTACCACGGTATTTACCCAAAGTATCATGCACATTAATTTAGCAAATAAACCCATAAAGAGCGTTTAAAAAAGTGGTAGAGCCCATCGGTGTGACCCCACGGAGTCATTGGATTTGACCCATTTCCAATTGGCTTGTTACATGTGGTATATATGTTAACTGTGCAAAGTTTGAACCAAATAGCTTCAAGCGTTTGCCAGAGGCAGAGCGGCGTGACTCTACGGGAACGGGGTCATCGGATTTGACCCATTTTCAATAGACTTGTTACATGTGGCAAAGTTTGAACCAAATCGGTCCAAGCGTTTAACAGTTATCTGTTCACGGACAGACGGACACCATCGACTCCCCTATAAAACTTGCATCGCTTTGCTCTGCCGCTTAATAATGCAATGCAATCGGTACCAAACAAACTAAAGATAAAAAGAAAAACATGACCTGAGTAATAGTCCTATCACAACGGTGCACCCACTCGATTCATTCCAACCACAAAAAAAAACAACAACAACAAACTGGATTGATTTTCTTCGAAGGGAGTGGGATAATGGCATTCTTCGCTCTCCCCGTCTCTTTATTTATTTATTAATTGTCTCTTTTTGTTGCTTTTTAAAGGTGCCCCTTCAGAAGGTCTTACGTTGTTCTATACTACTCCGGTCTTTACATTACGAATTAGGAAAACTGCAGGAAAACCTAATTCGGAGTAGTCGGAGTTCTTCGATATTCAGCCTTAAAAGGAGAAATTTCCCATAGTTTCATTAATGTTCTAACAAACACAAATTCCTGTGAGAAACCATAGATTCCCATGACACAGTGCAATCCCATTTGTTGCGCCAACAAATAAGTAAATCACCACCGGAACTTTTTTCAGCATAACGTAAATATACTGGCGCGCTAATTAGTTTGTCCTTGATCGCGTAAGGCTGTTTTAATTTCTCTAAGGAAAGCGTTTTATTCGAAGTTAACTTGTTTATTACTTCCTCTTAAATGGGGTCATCCCGCCTTCATTTTTTATTTCTGATCCACAAAGTACATTAAAAATAAAAAGACCCGTGTGTCCTCAATTTTTATTTGCGAGTAAAATAAACCCAAAATTAATTATTGAAAAGCTGTGTTTTTAGTCCGAATTTGAAACGCTTCAGACTAAATACGTCACAAACCTACAACCAATCACGTAGAAGTGAGCTGGCAACCTTACGCGAGGGTCTGACGTTTGTCAAATTTTGACGTTTTGAGAGGGATGTTTAACTGCATCTAGCACGAAAGTGACAAGTGCCTGTGACAGATGACGCAAGTTATAAATGCCATTCTCCTACAATATTGCCAAGTCGTTATGTCATCTGAATGGTTCTAGGAGCTGATTGGTCGGGCTTATTACGTCACAGACCCGCCACAATCATATCGTTTTGAATAAACCTTTAAAACCGCACATGTTCATTATTTTTTTGCTAATCAGCCTCTATTTTTAAATAAACTTTTACTGTCCAAAAAAATGTTTTATGGTTTCAGGTACACGCTTACTAAATTAGAACTGCGGAATTCAACTATACTGTAAACCCCCATTCGCGATAATCCGTATTCTGCAGTGAAAATATTTTTCCACCGCTCTCACACCGTAGTCGACTAAGAACTACGACCGTACCGTAAATACGTGAGAAAATTATTTTGTGCCGTGACCGTTAACAACAAAAAATTGCAGGTTACGGAAGCTAAACTAGTGCCCCCGCACGTACTTTTTCATTGTTTATGTAAAGTTTTGTGCTAAATATGAGCTGGTTTGCTCCACGAAGGAAAACTTTTGTTTTCTTTTTATGAGATGTTGAATAGGTACTAGAATACATGGATGAACTTAAAGCCTTTCATGTTAATTAATAGTGAAAACCAAGAGCAGTAGCTAAAAATCAACTTAAAGAAGAGAACCTTTTTTTACTGTGTCAACTTGATCCAATATTACAATGAAAACGTATAAGCTGGAACGTTCAACGTACAGTTCATCGCAACTTTTCTAGACTAATCCTTTGTAAATAGGTATTCCACGTTGATACTCCACCGGTGTTGCCTAACTATGTGATTAAACGAATGATTATTCTTATCGTTAATTGTACATAATTACCTTGTAACGTCCTTCAGATAGCCACGCGGTATTCATTTGGCAATGGAACTTTTTAAATTAACGTTGACGTCTCGCAAATAAATGCCCAGACGTTACAAACCACCTGAAGGGAAATGCGGAATGTCGCACTTCCAATGTGAAAAAAATATACTTACGAATTAATACCCCTTATCAGGTGTATTTGAAGAGACCTTTATCTAAATTATACTAACGAAGCAATTTCGTAAATCCAACGACTTGATGTCTCTGAATTGGTAGTGGGTTTCACAGTGCTGCGTACAATATGGGCTAACCTGTAGAGGTCCTTTTCACAAATATTTGGTAACGGATCGGTAAGCAATGTAAAATATATGGATGTTGGCTTCACTAATAAGGCATTGGGAAAAATAAATCTTGAAATCTTAAGAAAAGATAGAGGTGCCGTTATCTTATCCGAAACCATTGTCCCATGAGAGCTTGGATAGGCATCTTCGATGTGCAAAAATTGACGTGAAGTCTAGTGATAACTCCAACAGCCATGACCGTCGAAATATTCATACTTGTGACAGTGTTCGCAATCTTCATTGCATCCTGTTGCGGGTTCCTTCAGAAAATACGGGAATTCTACAACGGCCAAGGTAAGTCATCTACGTTGCCGCGTGTCAGGCTGGTGTAAATCAATTTCCAGGTATTCCACAAGCGGCTAACACACCACATCAAAACGAAGAGCAAGGTACAGCTGGCGTCTTTCCCGCAATGTTCTCTCCTCCACCTTATATAGGTAAATTCCTTTCCTGTAACGAAGTGTGTTTGTAATAAGAATTGTTGCAGAGTACTTAGAACCGCCGCCAAAATATGAAGATCTGATCAAAGAAAATCAAATTACGGTAGTCGTCCCTCGGACGAATGAAAATCCGGTTGAAAGATCCCAAGATGTTCCTTTGACTTACACGATAGCAATAAGTCGCCAATGATATTTTGTATGTATGTAGCAGAAACTTTGTTTTAAATCTGTACCGTCTCCAATAAACGTTTTTTTCTGGATTTGAGGGTGAACGGGTGTTCGTATTCGAAAAAGTAGGTTCGATTTTGTTTTAATGCCGCCGCAGCGCTACTGTCGTCGCTTCTAACATGCGCGCATGCTTCCTTTGTTCACATGCTACAAACATACGCCATTACGGTTAAAAGTTTTCGGTGTTTACTGAAGCCGTGAGGGTATCCGAAATTCATCGTCATATTAGATTTACAGTGAAGGCAATGTCTGAGAGAGTGGTTCATAAGTGGGTGAGAGAGTTTAATGGAAGAAAGCGAATGCCGTTCTCTTGTGAATGATGACTCGGGTGGACTAGTTGGCCGGAAAATTCAATAGAACAGACGACTCACAATGTCGATACTTACTGATGGAAATGAATTTTCACAGGTTTCGAGAACTGTTTTGCATGAGACCGAAACCGACCACATCTTTAAAGCTGGCATAAACCGCTAGTGCAAGTTCCTGAACAATGGTGGGAACTATGTATTATAACAATAATTTCTTGTATGACCACGGGTATAAATTATCTAAAGAAAAAAATTGTTTTCGTATATTTACACCGAGCTTACTTTCTGGATAGGAGAGGTATTCTGGACCATTGTACTCCCCTCTGCCACCTAAAATGTCACTCAAGTCACTCACCACCTGAGTGTGCGGGCGGGTAGATACATCTAATCCTTTCAGTGTCTGGCCAGGATTACCTTAACATAGTTTCTCCTCTAAGAGGGTGATCAACAAACAAAGAATATAGCAAGCCATCTCCTCACCTGCGTGTGACAGTTTAGAGTGCCTAGAACCCTAGATAGTATCCCAACGGTGATTTTCGTGAAAACCCTCTCTTATATGTCGCATGAGATTTAATCGAATGTGGCTTTAAGTTGGGGCTGCAAGTGGGAACTGCTTTTTGGTCGCATTGTAAATCTAGCCCAAACGTGGTTTTGCAGTTATTAATAACCGTTTGCAACGAGGAGTTTCATTACCATGGATTTTAACTAAATCTAAAGGTCACCTTAATTTTGCTATGCAAATGGCCATACTTGCAGCTGAAATCGTTTTGTAGTATTGTTTTCAACGCCAACAGGAAGACCTTTTCTGGCATTAAGCTCATCAATTCATCTTAGATTTAGTATACAGGGTCATTCTTGACGAGCGTCAGTTAGAAAGATATGGAAAACCTTTGAAAATGAAGATAAACTGATAAGTTCTTTAAGGGTTTTGGCACATGATTAATTGAACTAAAATATTTTCAAAATGGCGCCACTTCCGGAAATACCGGAAGTAGCCATCAACTTTGTTATTTTAAATAGGGACCCCCTATTTTTTCTACATTTTCGGATTCTACGTCGAATTGGAGTACAACGATACCCCATAGTTGACTCTTTGCTCCAAGGGCTTCGCCGATATTCAAGTTTTTGTGTCAAAAATTGAATTTGCAGGGGTAACTTTAAAAATTTATTATTCGAAAACGGTGAGAGATATTGCAAAACAGTTTTCAATGCTTTATTAAGGAAAGATCGAATTTTCTTATGGTATGCGTAACAGTCTAAAAAAGTGAGACTACGTCACTTTTTCAAAGCTCTCATCTTTTAAACTTTTAAATATCCGTAACTCCATTTTTTCAAATGGCACCCCCCATTTTGTTCTACACCCTTGTTTTCCTTTTTCCCAGACCTTTAATTTGATGCAAAATGTCAAAAGCTGCTTCAAACGGTTCCTAGATATTCCATGTTACTTCTTGTGGAAAATTGATAAAAAAATTAAGTCGCTTGATGTTATTCTTTTGTTTTTATTATGATAATGTTTAAACGTCAAATTTTTCGCTGTTCGAACTTATACTTCTGGTCAATAATGGCTCGTTTGGGTTACACTAATGAAGATTTTGTGAATTTAATATTAATACACGGTGATTGTAATCGAATAGCTGCCAGGACTTGTCGTCTTTTTTCCGAAAGATACCCTGACAAGGCGCAACCCACATAGGCTACAATTCGCAAATTACTACAAAATTTGAGGAATAACGGTACAGTTGTACTCCAAATTCGACGTAGAATCCGAAAAATTAAAAAAAATAGGAGGTCCCTATTTAGAATAACAAAGTTGATGGCTACTTCCGGTATTTGCGGAAGTGGCGCCATTCTTTGTGCACTCGTGTCTGATATGTCAATTTCTCTGGATATCATTAAGCGATGCAGTTGGATTTGCAGCAAAATACACCAGTACAGTTATTTCCTGTTCTTCAGAGTCTACCACAGGCTTCCTTTTATGTATTTTTGTTTGAAAGATACCGTTATTCGTGAAATGTTGTAGTAATTTGCGAATTGCGAATAAAAACAAAAGAATAACATCAAGCGACTTAATTTTTTTATCAATTTTCCACAAGAAGCAACTAAAACATGGAATATCTCGGAAACCGTTTGAAGCAGCTTTTGACATTTTGCATCAAATTAAAGGTCTGGGAAAAAGGAAAACAAGGGTGAAGAACAAAATGGGGGATGCCATTTGAAAAAATGGAGTTACGGATATTTAAAAGTTGAGAGCTTTGAAAATGTGACGTAGTCTCACTTTTTTAGACTCTTACTCCATACCATAAGAAAATTCGATTCTTTCCTTAATTAAAAGCATTGAAAACTGTTTTGCAATATCTCTCACCGTTTTCGGAATAATAAATTTTAAATTAACCCTTGCAATTCAATTTTTGACACAAAAACTTGAATATCGGTGAAGGCCCTTGAGCAAAGGGTCAACTATGGGGTATCGTTGTACTCCAATGTCGACGTAGAATCCGAAATGTAGAAAAAATAGGGGGTCCCTATTTAAATACAAAGTGATGGCTTACTTCCGGTTTTCCGGAAGTGGCGCCATTTTTGAAAATATTTTTAGTTCAAATTCCATCATTGCCAAAACCCTTAAAGAACTTATTTAGTTTATCTTCATTTTCAAAGGTTTTCCATATCTTTCTAACTGACGCTCGTCAAGAATGACCCTGTATAGTAGAACATTTGCTTAATGGTTGGGTAATCTGGAAGGTCAGTTCTCTGGAGCAAATTTTTATTTTCTGATCCATCGGTGAAAATGGATGAATCAGGTTGAAATGCAACTTCAGCATCAAAAAAGGTTGGCAGTAGTTCTTTGGGCACAATGTTCTTAATCCTGTACAGCGTGCCCAACTAAGAATCCATCGTAGAGGCTTGCGGAAAAAAAAGTTACCTATTACTAAAACGGCCAAGAGAAAAACCTGGAAATTTTTGAAATGGCCGCTAGGGGGCGTAACTGAAATCTTGAATCTAAACAAGTAAAAAGGATTTCGCCCTAAGACTTCCCAAAAGTTCATAGCTATGTGCGCTATGTTTTTCTTGACTAGAGGCATGTATGCGTTAAAATTTCATAGAAACATCTCCATAAATAAAAAAAATTGGTGTTGGGCATTTTGCGCATGAGCACATTTAATTTATGCTACAGGTATGCGTTGTTTGTTTTTACTAGAAGCGTATATGGTTAAACTTTAGATAGAGATCTTCATAAGTAAAAAAGTTGTTATTTTACGCATTTGATTTTTACTATGTGCGATGGGTTTGCCTTTGCTAATGACATTTGTAGTTTTCGATGTTTAGTACATGTGATATGTTTTTCTTTACTAGAAGCATCAATGATAAAAATTTCAAAGAAATGTCTTCATAAACAAGGAAGATGACACTGACCGCGCATGCGCCCATCTAATGTTTCCAATATCAGATATGTTTGCCTTTAACAGAAGCATCTATTATTAATATTTCAAAAAGATATCTCGAGAAATAAGACTGTTGATATTGGGCATTCTGCGCATGCGCATATTAATCTGATGTTTACAATATGCGATACGTTTGCTTTTACTATAAAATTTCAAAGAAATATATCTATTGTAAGAACCATATTTTAGGGTAGTCCTTAATAACGAAAAAGTAAAATGTCAACGCAACCCCTATTTGAAAAAATGTGGCAAGCTGACTGGTCAAGTATGCGCGATTCTGCACATATGGGTGCAAGGGTCTTAAGGGATCGTGTTAACTGTTAAGGCAGTTAAGTTGCGTACGCGCTCTGGTCACGATCGTATAAGGGATGCTAGGTAGAGCATCGGACGTTAGTGAGTTTGGTGTAATAGCTCTTTATTGTGAGTGTCTCCCACGCGTAGGTGGTGAGTGTCTCCCACGTGTAGGTGGTGAGTGTCTCCCACGTGTAGGTGGTGAGTGTGTTGTGCAGGCCATCGTGCTGGTCGTGCTTTGTTGTTGGGCTATGGTAAAACCCCTGGCAGATATCCGGATATATTCCTAGGCTTTTAGAGTGCATTATGTGCATGTGCCTATGACGCGGTCCCGCGGGTAGCTCCCGCTGATTATACCGCTGAGTGATCTACTCGCTCGAGTAGATCATGGTGTCGACCCAATACGAAACATAAAGGCCTCATTGTTAACACAAACAGTTCGGGGGTGAGCTCGACCTGGATGTCGTTCCCAGGTAGGGCAATGAGTGACATAGATCGACGTTACTGATCTATTGGCCGAGGGTCCTAGTCAGAGGGCCAAGGCGGGATGTGTATCCTAAATAATACACGTGCGCGCGGCGTAACCCTTTCCCAAATAGGTATGAGCTCCATCTTATCCCTTCAGGAAGCCATCTCCAACGACGCATTCACCCCAATCGCCAACCGGAGTGTTCGGAAGTCCAGGAGAGCTTAGTGACAGTTCGGGGCTAACGCCCCCCGGTGAGTTACCTAATTGATTAGCGAGGATCGCGGTTAAGCAGTCGCGATGTTTGTTTACATGACCCTTTGGTGCGGAAGACGACCAGTCAGACTGAATGCTGCCATGCCAACCCCTTACGCGTAGATTACAGAGGGACGTTTCTAATGAAAGGTGAGTTTACAGTAGATTTGTCGCATCTTAATGAGTTCTGACCAAAAATTAGCTCCAATTTAATTACCGATTTCCCGGTTGTCATATATAAAATACCCCCCCCCATTACACTATAAATAAAAAAATTGACATTG